TCCCGACAATTTAGAGATTTTTCTACAAAATTTATGTGTGTGTGTGTGTATATAAACTGAGGGAAACTGATATCTTATGATTTAATTATTTTCAATGGATAAGTGTATCTGTTGAGCCTTGCAAAATTTCTAAAACCTTAGGATCAGATTGCATACTGACCCTCCTCATTTCCTATCCACATACTGTTCTTCATATAGTGTTTACTTCTTAGCATCCATCAAAACCCAAATCCATGGATACAGTGTCATCAAAATAAATGCAATACAATCTAAGATTAACCAATTGTTTGCACAGTGTGTGACCGATGTCAGGAATCACTGTGTTTTCCTTAAAAACTGAAGCATGCTGAGATGCCCATGTATGCTGGCTACAGTCCTAGGGCACCTCTGTTCATGATCTGGGAAACGCAGTCTTAAGGATGCTGTTGGAGGCTCTTCCAGGAGTCAACCAAAGGGCAGCATGGTTCTTATCAGTAGAATGGAAGAGGAGGCATTCTGTGTCCCCTTCCATGTCCGCTAAGTGCCAGTGTTCTGGTTCACCTGTTCCCAGGAAGTCTTCCTAAGGTTGTTCTTCCTGGTACCTCGCTCCACCCCTCAGTTAATGCTATGAACAAAATAAAGAATAATGGTGGGTTGTTGGGCAACCTGGGCATGAGTCCCAGATCCACCACTTGGGAGGTATAACACCTTGGCCATAACCTCCTCTTTCCAAAATCTCTTCCAGCTTTCAATATCTGTGTATCTGCCCTCCAGCTTTCTCTAAAGAGGCCAAGGTTTGCAAAGCACTTAATTTTAACTCAGCCTCCTCAGAGTGGGAAGAAAAGAAATATTTCTGCAGTTGGGAACATCCTGCATACTGGGATGCTGGGAAATGTACCATTTTTATACCAAGTAAAAACCCATTTTCACATCAAGTAAACTTCTGAAGAGGGAACAAAGCAAGAACAAAAAGCTCTGTGTAAGGGCTGTTTGCTGGGATGCTAGGAATGTTTTCTTGATTTGAACATAAGTAACTGGATGCATTTGGTTTGAGAAAATTCATTAAACTGCACACTTGTGATGTATGAATCTCTCTAAAAAAGAACAGCAACATAAAGTGTTGAATTGAATCCTTTTGCAGGGGTGGGTGTTTGGCCTATTCATAAACACACTGACAACTCATATTGAAACGTCTAGGATGGTGTCCAGCTCTATTCCTGACTCCAGCTTCCTGCTATAATGTAGGTCTTGGGAGGCAGAGGCTCAGTGGTTGGGTTTCTGCCCACCCATATGAAAGACCTGGCTTCAGGTCCTGACTCACTCAGCACAGCCCCAGCCAACGTCACTGCAGGCATTAGGAGACTCTCTCTGTACCTGTGTGCACATGTCTTTCTCTGCCTATTTTTTTTTAAAAAAAGACATATATTTTTTTTATTGGAAAGTCAGATAAAAGAGAGCAGGAGAACCAGAAAGGAAGATCTTCCATCAGATGATTCACTCCCCAAAAGACCACGACGGCCGGAGCTGAGTCAATCCAAAGCCAGGATCCAGGAGCTTCCTCTAGGTCTCCCACACAGGTTCAGGGTCCCAAGGCTTTGGGCTGTCATCAACTGCTTTCCCAGGGCACAAGCAGGGAGCTGGATGGGAAACAGGAGCCACAGGGACACAAACTGACATCCATATGGAATCCCAGCGAGTTCAAGGTGAGGAGTTTAGCTGCTCTCAAATAAACATCTGCTCTCAGCTTCTTAAATAAAGTTTTATTAAATATTTAATTGTTCATTTATTTGAAAGAGTTACAGAGATAAGGAGAGAGAGACAGAGACAGAGAGAGAAGCAAGAGAGCTCTAAAAAGATTTTATCTAAAAGATAAACTCTCCTGGCTCATTCCCCACATGGTCTCACAGCTGGGGCTGAACTGAGCCAAAGCCAGAAGCCAGGAGTCAGAAGCTGCATCCAGGTCTCCATAAAGGTGCAGGGCCCAGATACTTGGGCCAGTCAGCCACTGCCTTCTCAAGCACATTAGCAGGTAGCTAGATCAAAAGTGGAGTAGCAGAACTTGAACCAGTACCCACATGGATGCTGGAGTTGCAGGTGGTAGCTCTACCTACTATGCCACAACCTCATCCCTATTTCATTTTAAAGAAGCAGCATAAAAATACATAAGAGTACAATAAAAATAATATCTTAAAAAAAACTACTATCACCATCAATCCTGATAATGTAATTACAAAAGCTTGAATGTGCTTGTGGTATGTTTTTTTTTAAACATTTATTTTATTTTTATTGGAGAGGCAGATATACAGAGAAGAGAGAGACAGAGAGGGAGATCCTCCGTCTGATGATTCCCTCCCCAAGTGCCGGTCTGAAGCCAGGAGCCTCTTCCGGGTCTCCCACGCGGGTGCAGGGTCCCAAAGCTTTGGGCCGTCCTCCACTGCTTTCCCAGGCCACAGGCAGGGAGCTGGATGGGAAGCGGGGCTGCCGGGACAAGAACTAGCACCCATATGGGATCCCGGGTGTGCAAGGCGAGGACCTTAACCACTGCGCCATCGCCCCGGGCCCTTGTGGTATGTTTTAAAATAAATTTTAAGTCAATTGAAAAATGAAAGCTCTAGGGTAGATCTTTGATGCAATGGCTAAGTCGGCTGGTATTCCATATCAAAACCTCAGATCCTCAATTTACAATCCAGCTTCCGGCTGCTGCACACTTTGGGAGGCAGCAGGTGATCACTTCGGCCTTCTCAGCTGTTCCATGTGTGGAATAAACCAGCAAGTGGAAGACCTCTGTCTCTCTGCCTTTCAAACAAAAGCAAATAAATGATTTTTTCAAAGTAAAGCTCTTACCAGCTATTAAGAATGTTTAAGACTGGCATGACTCTTTGTAAGTATGACTTGGTATCTGGTCTTCCTTTCAATTGCTCTGTTCCACCATACAACAAAGGACAGAGGCTTAGCCCACGCAAATCCACTTAAAAATTTCTCAGCAGAGTTTGTAGAGTCCAAGGGGCAATAGGGATATTGCTCAAGAGTTCATGATGGGCTACACAGCCATTCTGAATAGCCAAGAGGCAAAGTCTTTAGCTTGTCCTACAGGGGTTACTGTGTTATCTACTCCTATCAGCTAGGCCCAGGGCCAAGGAAACCACAGCAACCAGAGGCTGGAGTTTTTACTGAAGAAAGTTGGGGGAAGACCTTGGTGGCAGGACTGAGTGACTGGAGCACCTCTTCTGTAAACGATGAAACATAGTGGATGGGCCTAGCATGATGGCTCAATTAGCTAATCTTCTCATTGCAAGTGTCAGGGTCCCATATGGGCACCAGTTCGTGTCCTGGCTGCTCCACTTCCCATCCAGCAAACTGCTCATGTAAGCCTGGGAAAGCAACTATGGTTGACCCAAAGCCTTGAGATCCTGCACACACGTGGGAGACCTAGAAGAAACTCCTGGCTCCTGCCTTTGGACCAGCCTTGCTCTGGCCATTGCAGTCATTTGGGGAGTGAACCAGCAGATGGAAGATCTTTCTGTTTGTCTCTCCTTCCCTCTGTAAATCTGCCTTTCCAATACAAAATAAATACATCATAAAAAGAAAAGAAAGAAACACAGTGGATGAAGTCCTTTTCAGTTTGATTGGGAGATGCCATGAGAATGAACAGGTCAGTCTTAAGGAAATCCAGACAGACAAGCCTATTCTGGAAAGAATAATTCAGAGTCTCCAAAACATCACCAATGAAACAGAGCCAAGGAAACTGACCAGTTGAGGGATAAGGTATGATTAAACCACAGAACAGCAAACGCGTGGCCAATTAGAAGTGAAAAGTGAAAGGTGGCTACTGTTGCTATATACTTAACATGTTTAAATTCACATATTTAATTTGAAATACATATAAAGACAGGCACAGAGAAAGACAAGAAGAGCTCTTCTATCTGCTGGTTCACTCCCCAAATGCCTGCAACAGCCAAGGCTGGACCAGGTTGAAGCCAGGAGTCTAGAACTTATTCCAGGTGCCCCTGTAGATGGCAGGGCTGTCTACTTGAACCATCACCTGCTGCTTACCATGATGGGAATCACCAGGAAGCTGGGATCACAAGCAGAACCAAAACTTGAACCCAGGAACTTTGCTATGGGGTGCCGGCATTCTGAGACACAGCATGCCAAATGTTCATTTCCTGGAATACTTAAAAAAAAAAAAAACCTAATTGGAATGATTCTCTATCCCGTAGAACAAGAAGAGGGAAGTGAAAGAAAGCAGATGCTGCTAGTTTCACTCAAAACCAAAAAAAAAAAAAAGGCCTTCCTGTGCCTCAGTGTCCTCATTGTATGAATGCAGGTTCAAGTCCAGGCTGTTCCATTTGCAATCTAGTTCCCTACTAACGCACCTGGGAAAGCAGTAGAGGATGACCTAAACTCTTGGGTCCCTGCCTCCTGCCTTTGGCCCAGCCCAGCCCTGGCTGTTGCAGCCATTTGAGGAGCAAATCAGTGGCTAGGGAGCCCTTCTCCTTTTCTCTCTGTCGCTCTGACTTTGAACAACAAAAAAATCAGTAACTTTGGCCAAGGGTTATTATGACCCAGTTAATGCTCACATCCCTACAGGCTAATTCAGTAGAGGAGACACCATTATTTATTGTTACAATGCAATCCAGTAAGTCATTCCAAGCCCCTTTAGTCACTCAGATATGACAAATTCTGGACCATGGTTTACCATGCTCCCCTGTAGAGAGGCAGCAGGAATGACTTTCCAAAAGATTCCTAACAATTACAATCATTTAACACCTCTACTGGGAATTAGTACTGGGCCCAACCCCATGAGAGCTGTTATACTTATTCACATGCTGGTCCACAGAGAGGAGACCCAGGAACCTCACCTTAAAACTCTGAGGGTGCACCAGGCCCTGCATGTGACACTCTTTCTGATTTCTGTTCCAACTCCTTAAGGTGCTGTTTGGATGATATTTTAAGCTTGAGAGGAGCAGTAAACAATAGAAAAGCTGAAACACAAGAAGCTGACGTTCCCAACAGTTCAGATGTCTGAGTTAAGAAACATCTGCAATTTCTTTACGTTTAAAGAACAGATTTTGTGCTCCACCAGCCCCGGGTGCCTTGTCCGTGGGGCGGGGCAGCATGACATCCGGTTGGAAAGCTACATCAACCCAACAGTCGCCGTGATTACCTCGGATGGGAGAATGATTGTGGGAACGCTGAAAGGCTTTGACCAGACCATTAACTTGATATTGGACAAAAGCTATGAGCCAGTGTTCAGCTCTTCACAGGGAGCAGAACCAGTGGTCCTGGGGTTGTACTTCGTGAGAGGTGACAATGTTGCAGTCGTTGGAGAAATTGATGAAGAGACGGGTTCTGCCCTTGACTTGGGGAACACTCCAGCAGAACCTCAGAACTCTGTAGCACACTGAGCAAGAGCTTCCTGCACCGGACCTCTGTAAATCTTTGTATAGAAACACTATTCTGAAGATGATGTGGAATTTTTATGAGCATATAATTGTGATTTGTTGTAATTTGTAAATTAAAATATTTCTACCTTTCATTAAAAAAAAAAAAGAACAGATTTTATTTCTTTATGTGAAGGGCAGAGTGACAAAGAGGTAGAGACAGAGAAAGCCATCTTCCATCTACTGGTCCACTCCCCTAGGACCAGAATGGCTATTACTGGGCCAGGAAGCTGGAACTACACTCCAGCGCGCCACATGGAGGCAGAGGCCCAAGCGCTGGAGTCCATGCACACGGGCAGCAAGCTGGACTGAAAGTGGAACAGCCAGGACTTGAAGGGGCTGAGCAGCTCTGAGGTGGAGGCTTATCCCCAGGGTCACAATGTCCCTCAACCCCAGCCCCGCTTTTACATTTTTAATGAAGGAAGGAGGTTAGAGCGATGGATAGCGACCTAGGAGAGCTGGGAGGTGGGGTTCCCTGTTGTGCGTCCAACACCTTTTCCTGATTAATATTTTTTGGGGGCATGAAGTCTTGCCATTCATTTGAGGGAGACGGGAACTATAAATTAGTAGAATTCCCGGAGAACAGCTTTAACAATGACAATCCGGAACTTTTTAATATACGTGTACCTTTTGATCCTTTCAAAAATGCAGACGGGTACAATTTGTTGCAGCTGTATAACAACCAACCACCATGAAACGTATTTACGATGTGTTTAAGGAAATGGGAAATGTTTGTATGACATTAAGTACAAAAAGCAAGATTCGATCATTTATACAGAATTTCTAAGTATGTGAAGAGAAACGCGCAGCTAAAATTTGAAGTTATATCCCAATATGTAAGGTGTTGGCTTCTGGATGGTGGATCCATGGGCGTTTGTGGGGCGGGGGTGTCTGATTCTTTACACTTTTCTTGTCATGGTTTATAAACTAAGTGCATATTACTGTGCTCCTTGGGCGGCGGGCAGAGGTTGAACACCATCTCCCAGCTCCTCGATTTGCTCCCCTCTTTTTCTTAGAGTCAGAATCATTTCCTCCCGGCTTCATAAAGTTTTTGAGGTTACGCAGGGCACGCCAGCCTGTGGGGGAAGAACCCGGGGAGGCTGCGGGTGCGGGGCGAGGGGCGGCGCTGGGCTGGGCTGACCTCTGCGCCTTCTCCACCGACGCCAATCGGCGGTTAGAAGCCGCCTGTCCCCCGGACTAGCCGGGATCGGAAGGCGCCTTGCAGCGCAGGCAGAGTCACCAGCCAGGCTGCGCCGGAGTTAGCCTGCCCACCTTGCCGCCCTGCTGAAATGCGCCCGGGCCCAGAGGCGGCCACCACTTGCTGCTGCGGCCCCACGTGTCCGCCTCCATCCCTTCCCCTGGGCCCGCCGCCTAACCCCGGGCTTGTGGCCGGCGGAAGCGCCCGAGCCAGAGAGGGAGGAGCGCCCCTCCCCGCCAGCTCAGCCTGCGGGGCGGGAGGCTGGGAAGGCGGTGGCGGCGCGGACGTGCCCGGACCCACGGAGGCCTCCGTGCGCCGCCCCCGCGGCCCAGGCTCGCTCCCTGGCGGCCACCAGCCCCGTGCAGGGCACGCAGGGAGGCCGGAGGCCAGGATCCAGCCCGCCTTTGCGGATCTGCCGCCTCTCGTTCCAGGTCGCTAGATCTAACCCTTTTGTCCCCGAATCCTAGGCAGCCCAGCTGTTCCTTGATGGCGAACCCCAGCAGCCACTTCCCGGCGGGCCGCCGCCAAGATGCCCCACGGGCCACCTTCCCGCTCGGCCCCTTCCCCTCGTGGCCTGCGATCTTTCCACCTCAACTTCTGGCCTCCAGTCCCGCTGCCTTTCCAAGGCTTGGTCTGACCCACCAAGGCCTGGCCCCCTCCCTTAACCTCTGTAAGTCCATCCGCATTCTCGTAGGCTCTGCTCAGGGCAGCGTTAAATTTCACTCCCACCTTGCGGTTGGGCCCAGCTGCTGGCCACTAAGAAACAGTCGCAGAGGCAAGAACGGTTGGCACTTGCTGCATGCTTACCCCATGTTGGCTGCGTCATTTACAGAGTCCAGTGCGAAATGAAAAGTGCAGAGTCTTGTGCTTGAAAACAGTTTTAAGACTGAGAAGAATATTGAATTCAGGCCCGGAACTCTTTCGAGCATGGGCCCCTGTGTGTCTACCTGCACCAGGAAACCGGCTTTGCACATTTTCCACCCTCAAGCTCATGCTCTAACCAATGTTTGAAAAATTCACTTGAAAAGAGGAGAGAAAGAGATCCACCTTTTCTCCATGGATCGCTGTGGAGGTCCTGAGAGCATGGATCCTGACTTTGCTCCTAAAGCCCTAATACTCTTGGATTTCCTTTTTTCTCTCTGATACATTTCTCTCACTCATTTCCTGGCTTCCCCTTTTCCTTTGCCAAATGTGTGTGTGCTCTCAAAGGTAAAAGCTCAGTGCTTCTAATTCCATAAACAGTCTGTCCTCCTTATTGTGGTCACCACCTGTGTCGGTGAAATGTCCCCGCCTTTACTTCCAACCTAGATTTCCCTTGCAAGTCCCTCTCGCACTTTTACTATTCCCTGGGGATCCTGACAAATCAAATGAAACAATCCCTCCTTCCCCGCCTGCCTTCCTCAGCACAAGCCCCCCTGAGCTAATGACCCTTCCCAGCTCTCAACAGCAGGTCACTTCGAAGACAGCTGCGCTGGCATCCTTTCAAGGTCGGGCAGAGAGAGGCACTCTACCATGGAGGTATCTGGCAGATACCACCTTAATCAAATCACAGAAGTTAACGCCACCGTTAGTGAAACAGACCCACATTGTGTACCGTCTGAGAGGACACAGTGACAATGACCCTTCTGTGATATTCCAAAGATGCATGACCTGGACCGTCACAAGGAGACACTGGACCGAGCCCAACTGAGGAACAGCCAGACACAATGGCCTATGATATTTTAAAAGATCAAGATCGTGAGGGCCCAGGAAGCCTGCGGAGCTGCTCCTGCTTGGAGGACACGCCACAGAACGACAATCGGGTACGCTAGGCAGTGCTGTGATTAGAGTACATTATGGAGACCCCGGACGGAACATGAATCGGGGCTTTCTGCCAAGGGAATAGGTGAGTTGTTTTGAATCATCCTTTCAGTACAACTCTTCTGAAAATTTGAAGTTGTTTCAGAATGAAAAGAAAACACAAAATTCCCCATCCCAAGGCCCCTCCATACTAGTTTGCCCCTCTCAGTTACTGTTATAACCCATTCTCCCAGTCACCCCAGCTTAAACACTTTGGGATTTATTTTGATGCCTCTCCTCTCGCCCCCCCCACCCAGCGCCTCCTTTCCTCCACCTTCGCGGTCACTAAGTCCTGTCAATTCCTTTGAAAATGTTTCTCACATAGCTGCTTTTTAAATTAAACTCCCAACTTTTCTTTTTGTGGCCCTACCTATCTCATATAATCATGTTAAGGAATGTCTGAAAAGAATGTGCATAACATAAAGTACTGTGTAAACACAAGGTCTTGTGATCCCATGTCAAACTGGGATCACTGCTACTTACTGCACTGATCTAAGAGGTCTTCCTGTCTCGGGTTGCTCCCATCACCAACCCATCCTGTCTACGGTTACCAGAGCAATCTGCCTAAAAGCACATGTTTATCCTTCCAGGACCTCATTTCCCACGGCCCCTGGTGGGGCTTACTTAATCCATGTTCCCCAGGAAGCCTGTGTCCTCCAAGCTGAACCATGGTGGTTTGTCCTCAGCTCAAATAACCATGACCTTTCTTTGAGAAACATGAAGAAGTCAATGGATGGAATTCTAACCTGATTAATATCTTTCTCCCTCCTGTATTTGATTCTTCATAGGAGTAGGGGTTCAAGCTTTCGTCTGCAAGCATTTCAATGGCAAAATGGAACAACAAACGCCAACTAAACAGTACAGATTTGGTGACAGCCAATTATCTTTAGCTCAGCATTTTGATTTTTCTCATGGATATGTGTGTTGTTGTGATTTTTAGCATGCATGTCAACTATGTAGCCATTTTCCTTCCTTAAATACGTTTCTAGGGGTAGATGTAGGTGCAGCAGCCGAAAGGCCGCTTCGGATGCCCACATCATATATTGGAGTACCTGGGTTTGAATTCTGGTTCCACTCTCAGTCCTGCACACCCTGAGGGTATCAAGTGATGATTCAAGTCCTTGGGTCCTTGTTGCCCATATGGGTGATATGGATAACTTTTGGGCTTCTGATTTTGGCCTGGCACAACCCCAGCTGTTGAGGGCATTTGGGGAGTGAACCAATAGATAAATGATTCCTCTGCCTTTCAAATAAATTGAAGATTTTTAAAGCATCTTTAAAAGCATTCCTATTTAAAATTTTGTTTACTTTTATTTGAAAAAAAGTGAGAGAGAGACAGAGAAGGAGGGAGAAAGAAGGAGGGAGAGGGAGAGAGAGAGGAAGAGAGAGAAGGAGAGAGAGAGATTGGTATCTTCTATCTGGTAATTCACTCTCCAGTACCAGAAATAGCTGGGGCTGGGTCAGTCTGAACCAAGGATTCAAGAACTCAGTCCTGGTCTTCTATGTGGATGACAGGGGTGCTGTCATCTGCTTCCTTCCAGGATGGCTATGAGCAGGAAGCTGGAATCAGAGGTGCATCCAGGATCCAAACCAAGACACTCTGCTTTGGGACATGGGTGTCTCCAGGGTGTCCTCACTCTTGTGCCAACTGCTCACCCTGGGTTACTGTTTTTACAATGCGGGAATGAAACACACCAACATTTCATCATGAAGCATTTAAACATCACTCTAGAATGAATACATTCGTTTTTTTTCCAACTTCATTGCTACCATTCTCTTTGACATTTGACAAGTATGCATCCGTTTGGTTTTAGTTATGTATGTATTTTCTTTTCACAACCCATGCTATTGTCCTGGAACTCTTTCCCAGCTCATTCCTGTCTGTAGAAACTGCATCCAAACTTCAAGGATTAATCCCATCCTCCAC